TTCAAATGAAAGGTGTGCTGGTATGTAACACTTACAGTCGAGAGATCTGTCTCTTAATTAAAATGTTACAGATTGTGTTTAGCTCGCTGTGCAGACAGAGCATACTGTGTATTGGAAATAACGCTCCCTATAGTGTGCAGTATTGATCAGAGGAGGAAAATAAAGGATGTTTCAGTGAGAAAATAGAATCTGTGTAATGCAGCTTTTGGGTAGGGAATGTGGCTAGGAGTATTGAAAGTAAACCCATGACGAGTACCTCATAGGGAGGAAAAAAAAAAAAAGAGGGGGCTTTTGTTTGAAAAGCCAATTCCATACTAGGACACAAGCTGGTCTGTGCGATCCATCAAATACGTTGCCTTTGTTTGGATTTTACTTTTAAAGGAGAAAAGAGTATACATTAGCCAGAGTGTACATGTGTTTCTGTACATGCAAGCTCATTCTGAATAGAGGCATATGAATAATTTATCCTGCCACAATCCAACTGGGAACGTCCTTGGTATTTACATTTTATCATCAAGGGCACTGGATGAGCCCTCACAGCAATCTAACACATGACACATCCTCAGTCCGCGTCCCTCCGCACAATCAAGAGCAACGGATGGGACCGGGGGAATGTCTCTGTAGCGTGGATATATATTTATACCCAGAGAAAACAAAAGGGTTGATGAACATGCGAGATGATGACTAAGCATGGCGGATTACACAGTGGTCACCCGCGAGTCATAGTGGAAGATGACGGCGAGGGACAGGCGCACGGGGACTCACTTTACACAATGGCTCCAATGTTTACAGCAGACAATTTAGTTTCCTTCCAACAATTATGAGGGAAATTGAATCTCAGGAAATGTTCGTTTTCTTGTCCATTAGACCAAACAATAACACTATCCCCAAAGGTTTACAAAGACATCTGTCTTCAAAGGACAGTCCAGAAAATTAATATCAACTAGCTCGCAGGCTATGTAAGGACAAAGTAAATCAAATTGAGGCAATCACACGTCTTCCTCTCTCTCCTACTTTTTCATTTCGTCGTAACGTGTAGGAAGATGAAAGTGCGCTTTTAACGCTGAGTCTGTGTCTACATTCTTGCCTCACAATAAAACACAGCTAACGTCCTTTTTTGTGGTCAAATTAAAGATGGGTGTTTTAGGTATTGTGACTTAATGAAATTCCTCTCATCTGGCTTTGTGCTTACCGCCGTAGATTGGTGTTCATTTAAAAGACATTAGATTCATTTTAATCCTGCCGAAAGCTATTGTTGTAAAGAGAAGATTGTCGGTTACTGTGTACTTAAAGGCGCAATCTGTGATCTGTGTGGAAACAAAAGGCTCGCCCCACCGCCAAATCACAATAAAAGAAACAGAAACATGAGGATTTAAAGCTGCTATCACTTCAGAATTAACAAACAGCGACATTAGATGAAAACAAAATCCATATACTTAATATTTTCTGATGCTGATTGAGGTTTGTTTGCAGTAAAATGAGCAGCTGAAAATGCTAATTTATCATTTGGAAGGCTTTTCAGGTGTATATCTCTAACAAACCTGTAATTTTTATGGCTCCAACATTACAGAATGGGCCGCGTCACTCACCTTTGTAGTAAAACAGGGTTGAGAGAAACAAGAAAAAAAATGTGCCCTGTATCCTCTCTCCTTTCTTCCATCTCCCCATGCCCCTTATTTTCTAAAAGTATCTGTTTGAGAGATAAATGACCACTCTGCTGCCGAGGATGACAGCCTACACAAAGATGATATTGAATTTATTTCAGAAATGTTGCAGAACTGACTGTTTGATGTATACTGCCAGACATGAATCATAAAAATTCTATTAAAAAACCCTTGAATGGCTGACACCAGAATATTATTTGTGATGATTAATTTGACTCAGTCATTACAATGGGAGTCAAGTTGGATCGTCTCAGACAAAATTGCTTTTCATTCCCCCGTTGAATTTCCCTGCTATTTTTCTTTTCTTCTTGCTCTGTGCAGAACTCTGATCTGATTGGACTTACTGTGTTAGCGCGACAGCACACAAATACAGAGGCTGTTGGTCTTCTTTATTACTGATCGCTCAGCATCGGGGTTTTGTTCCAAAATGAGACGTTCAACATTGGAAACAAAATTACACCTATTCCAACAGAATGACGGATCAGAAATTAAACAGTTTACACATCTATTTGTAGGAATGGCAGGAAGCTGAATTGGTTGGTGAGCAAGATGTTAACATATTCATGATTCCTAAGGTTGTATTGGCAGCAGCCTTAAATATTGTAAAGGTTTCTTTACACAGATGTGTTATAATGAATCAGCTCTTGACCACAGCAGTGGATGTAGTGACCAGTCAGAGGTCAGTGGATCTAAGAATAACTAAATTCTGTATTATACAGGTTCAACCACAAAATCACTGATCAAACAAATGGTAGTCAGTACAGCAGTAGTCTGCAAAATTAATGTTTATCCTGAAGTCCTCAACAAGAAATTGAGAATCACAGGGCACCAGTAATCAATTTATCATCATTCCTCCTTGTCTGACCCTGTCTGTAGGTGATAATACCCAACAAGGTGTCCTGATACAACACCACAACACAAAGCTAGGTCTACAACTGACAATTATTTTCATATTGATTAATCTACCAATAATTTTCACAATTACTCCTAATCTTTTAGTCTATAAAATGTCAAATAATTGTGAAAAATGCTCATCACAATCTCCCAGAGCAAAAGATGACATCTTCAAAAAGCTTCTTTCGTCCAATCAACCTGAAGACACTTCATTTACCATCGTAAATAACAAAGGAAACCAACAAATGCTCACATTTAAAAAACTTGTAACCAGAAAATGTTTGACAGTTTTGTTTGAAAACTGACTGAGAAGATTGATCGACTATCAAATTAGTTGGTGATTAATTTCCTTTCCATCAACTGATTGATTAATCGACTAATTGATGCAGCTCTACACAAAACTTTCCATACTGGAACACCACAAAGTGTTATTAACAGTGATCACATGGCTGTAACAGCTTTCGTTTTTTGCTGTCAGTTTAATGTATAGTAAGTTTCTACAATAAAGTGTAACTGGCAATGTAGCACAACGTAGAAGTAGAGTTACTATGGTTACCTGCAGTGTAATCGAAGCAATACTCGTTAACTGGAAGGTGTCTAGATACACAAAAATGCACATGGGGCAGATGGAGAACATTTCCCTTCTTAGATCCATTTTATAATTGACAGTTAGCTTAACGGTTAGCAACTAGCAACGGCCACATGTACGGCTAATATGGATACTGCGACTTTGCACTGATCTAGAACAGTGTGAAACACTGTCCTCCATGTTCTTTAGCACAGAAGGTGCTTGTTGCTGATTTAACTGTAGGTTTGTCCAGATCAGGGGTGTAAATATAGACAGTGCAGGCAGTGCAGCTTCACTGGGGCCCATGGGGGTGGGGGGCCCATTCAGAGAATGGCTGGAGGGCCCACTCTCTCTAGAGCAGAGAACGGGCAAGTGATTCAACTTGATCCCTCAGAAATACGCCTGTGTTCAAAGAAGAACACACGTTAAAATCGTCAGTGGCAATCTATAACAAAATTATATGACCATATAAACTATAAAAAAAACTATTTTATAAATCAATTTAACGAATAATTTCTTATTTTATTTGGTATTTTTGTCATATACAGATTTGCAATGATGCTTGGTAATATGTATATTGATGCTGATCTGATCATGTGATGATACTATAAAATACACGTTAGCTGTTTCGACACAAAGTCTGGCACTAGGGCCCATGATAATAGCATGCACTGGGGCCCATCCTAACTACTGTACACCACTGGTCTAGATGTAAGTTTGAGTTTTTCCACTGGTTTGGTACTGTGAATGGTTCCAATACTGTGATACTCATTAAGGCTGCAATTAAATATTTTTTATTATTGATTAATGTGCCAATAAGTTTCTCGATTAATGGATTTGTCAATAAAATGTAAGAAAATGGTGAGACATGCCCTGTGTAATGTCACAGAGCCCAACGTGTGCTTTATCTGACCAACAGTCCAAAGCCAAAGCTATTTAGTTTATTATTCTGTTTGACAATAGAGACTATCTTGAACCACGGCCATGGAGTTGCAGGGGGGTTGAGTAGGTCTATGATGTAATTTGTTTGTTTGCAATTACGTGCATGTTCTTATGTATGGCTTTGTTGTCTCCACCGAGCACCACTTTGGAAATAAGTATATTTAATAATGCTTTTAAGTGCATGTCATGATACTCCTGTGAGTCATTGTGCTTTTAACATTTAACATTTTAAAAAGCACAAAACCAGCACGTTTGACTTTTTGCTTTAAAAAATAAAACTGAAATAATTATCTGGTGATCAAAATAGTCGCCAATTAATTTTCTGTCAATCAGCTAATCCATTAATCAGCTAATCGGCGCAGTTCGTTCACCCTCAGCTTCCACTGCTGTGAAGAAGAAGCTAATTAGAGGCGTGAATTTGAGCTGTAGCAAGTTCACAGTGCTTTGTTGTTGCATTTTGGAGCACTGTTCACCATACAGTAGTGTCTGCATTCATCCCAAATTGACTAAGGATCTAAAAGTAAATTGATTTAAGCTGCTGAATATGGTTTTTAGTTTGGATTGAACGAAGTGCACCTTGAGAGCTGTAGTTGACCTTATGTTTTATGTACACACGCTTGTATCTTTGACTTGTTATCAAAGAACTTTATTTTGTGAAGCAGTTGCTCATCTTTTGATTCAGATGGGAGAGTTTTTTACACATTCAAGCCTTGGAAGCCCTCCAGTTTCCTAACATGGCCTGAAATGAACACAACTTTGGGAACTCTTGGCACCTGAAATAACTCAGTGTAGTAACCGAACTAATACATCTGCAGAACATATGGAGCAGTGTCATGTCGAAATCAGTTGTGACTCAGCTCAAGTTTGATCCACTGATATCCGCTACTTCCTCAAACCTGAGTTGTCACACTCTCTTTGTGTCTCATCCTCAGAACTACACAGGTCAGACCGGCGGCGGCGGGGGAGGAGGCGGAGGTGGCGGATCGGGCAGTGGAAACGGAGCCGGGGACGAGGACTACGAGATCCCCCCCATCACTCCACCTAACCACCCCGAGCCTCCTCTTCTTCACCTGATGGAGCATGACTCTACAGGCTACCTCTGCCACTCGCTGCCACACAATGGGCTCATCAACCCGTATTCCTACCCAGAGCTGCCCACACTCATGATGTCTAACATGCTGGCGCAGGACAGCCACCTCGTCTCCAGCCAAATGCCCTCGGTGAGTAGCATTGAACAACTCGTCCAAACACCAGAGAGCTGATGTTTAAGGAGTCCGAGGATATTTTCAGTAATAGCCATAAAAGTTTTGGACAGTTTAATAAAAGTAGAAGGTGGTTAATGCCTGAGAGGGAAAAGGGTTTGACTGAAACCCTTTTAGTGTGAGGTGTGATTTTAACCGTGCTGGCTCAAAATGATAGGTCTTTGAAGAAGTATTTCTGCTGTAGTTGAGACATCCAGGAGGACATGAGAGCAAACTATTACCCTAAAATACACACGCACACAAACACTCAACAGACACCATACACCGAGGCACATGCAACGTTGCAATTTAGGGGGGGAGCACATAAGAAATTGGACAAATTTGACTTTTTAAAAATGATTTCCAAAGCTTATTGGATATTGCAAAACATCCAAAACAGCCATTTTGAAAAGGAGCTCTCTAATGTGAAACAGATTACAACCCTACGAGGTAAATGTAATTTCCAAGCCACGAAGAAGGGGGCTAAGTGGGGGAACTGAGCGATTGTTCGGCGGTTGCCATGTCAGCTCTGATGCATGGAGAAAAGGATTGTGGGTAAATCCATCAGCATCATATCTGCCTCGACAGCATGCATCGGTCAATCTGTCAAGCCTTCAAACATGAATACGCACTGATTACTCCCTCAGCTCCACAGAGAACTGCTCCTCCACAAATTAGCATCTCCAAACTGTAATTGCATTCATGAGAACTGCAGGAAATGGAGCAGGTTTCTATCACAACAGATGATGTATATGCGGCATGTAAAAGCTCGTGCCTGAAGCATAATGTATAGGTTGTACTAATCAAAGGTTTAGCAGCCTCTCGTGCACTCCACACATGGTAAGAAATGAGTAAATGAGTTAAAGATTGGCTTTTTTTGGATCCTATTCATTGACCAAAATGTAAATATTGTAACAGAGGTGCAGTGAATAACATTGACATTTGATTCAGTGCTTCCCTTTAAAAAAATGCTTGCATCTGAGTGATTTTTATTGACTGCAGCATCGAGCTTTCAGTGAAAATAACTTGCGCATATGCTCAACAATCCCAACATATGCAAAGGGTTTGAAGGTCAGAATGTCATGCCTTCATAACTTATTTGATATTTAGTCAGAAATCAGAACAAGACGCAAATAGCTACACCCGACAGCTGTGCCTTTTATAAGTTATATGTGCTCCATAATACAGTGCACATGTTTTACATTGTTCTTTTTCTCTCTGATGCATCTTCAGAAATGATAAATTAGCTGCACGTAATGAAAAAAACAAAATGTATTAAACACATACAGGTGCATAAACCAAGGTCGGTGTAGTATAATGCTAATCATAAACAAAAGAGATGAAGATAAAGAACAGTGAGCGTAAATACAGCTTGATAAAGATCTGAAATATAAATATGCTATATATTATATATAATGCTGGAATATTCCCTCCAGGTATTGGATTCATGTGTCATTTATCTTCATATTCGTTTCACATTTTGGTCGTGACCTTTACAGCGGAGACAGTGGTTGATTGGCCAGTCTCTCGCTCGGCAGTCAGGATATTTGTTACTGCTACAGAGGGCCACACTCGGTGGTTTTAATAGATTGAGTGTTCCGGGTTGTGCGATAAAAATGCATGAGATTTGAAATGTTTGACATGACACGAGTAATCAAAACACATGCGCTCACAAAGATAGGTGCGACACATGTTTTGATGTGATATTAATTTTATCATCAGGGTCATTAAGACGCAAATAGATCGAGAAATAAAAAGCAAAACCAGATGATCAGTGATCTTTTAAAGAAATGTTCTCACCTCCCAGAACTTGATATTTCTAACTGGCTCTGAGGGAAGCTCTGTGGAACATATAGGAGACCTTTTCAGAGCTCTGCTTCAACTTCACTGCAAAAAGCAGCATATAAAGCGAACTCAGAAAAATTTCTAAGTCAAATAGGCTGCCTGGCGAAACTACCAAACCGTAGCAGAGGTTCATTTGTGCTGAGAACGGAGTGTCTATTAAATTGGTGCCTCACCTTGACACAGTCTGTTGAGCAGAGTAATTAAGCAAACTCTGCAGTTCAAACATGAGATTCTATCATAATGAATACCTCACTTGACATGGATAGATAAATAACGAGGGTTAATTCTGATTTTAGACAGTTTTGTGCGCTAAAAAAATACAGTATTAGATGGAAGGGGATTTTGCTGCTGTTGACGGTGTACTGTTTGTGTGTGTCTATGTGTTTCTGTGTCCTCACTATAAACAATATCTCTGCTGTTGAAATGGATCCACTACATCTGGAGGTCAGGCCTTATATTCAATCTTGAGCACATTGAAAAAAAAATCCATTAGGGTTCATCTTTCCTGCATCAGCCATTCTATTGTGGTGCTGCAGTGAGATCTGTTTTCATCAGGCAGATTCAATACGTGAGCTGGGCAATGAAAAGAGTGCAATAGAGTTGGATGAAGAGAGGAGGGGTGAGGATGGAGAGAGAGGGTGGGCGGGGGTGGGGGGGGGGGCATTGTGGGGACGAAAGCAAGAAGAAATTGCAAAGAGGAAAGGGGTAACTCTTATTCAAAATGAGCATATACCTCCAGTTTTCTGTACCTCCTGGATTTCATTATTAGATATTTTAGAGATAATTCAGTTGAGTGAAATAAGGTTATTCTCTCGCAACAAAAGGCTGAGAGCTACTGGTTTCTAAATGCGGGCCTACGTGATTCAAGTATGAGGACATTTGAAAGTACTCCATTGCAGGTGCAACAATATAAACATAAAATAAATAGGGCGATTATGTAACAAAAAGGATTTAGAGTAGAGCAGTATTACAGTGGCAGTTGATCAGAGTCAGGGAGCTGTTAGACACAATAGATAATGTGTGTTCTGTTAGCGGGTGAACTGTGAGACTAAACACCGTTTAGATTTAAATCTTTGGGTGGATACAACAGGGGATTGTGGGTGTGGATTCACCGGAGCATTGACAGCTATCAAGATTTTCACATGAAGAATAGAAACTATAGAATATTAAAGAACAAGGCTGATGGATGTAGTGCTGCAGGAATGAGTCCTTAAACCCAGAGATGTGTTAGCATTTTAGCCCAGATCCTTCATCTGGAGGTCAGTGGGCTTTTTGAATGGGTTTTAAGGTCTGTGGTTAACACGAGCTCAAGAGACTTACACATTTTGTTCTATGGCATAAAATACGTCAAAAAATATCCACTCGGGAATTTTGAAGCTTTTATGTGTCTTAAAAAAAGTGGTTGCTAAATAGTGGCTAGATGAGACTACAGAATGTTGTGGTGGCAAAACAACTATTTAATGAACAGTTTAAAGAAAAAGTCTTCACACGTCGGCTGTCTTTCTTGAGCCTTAATAAGCATTCATGAATGGAGTCACACACATACAACCGCATGAACAGTCAGTCAGTCAGTGAGTGAGTGAGTGCCTAGATGTCCTCCAGCCCTGCTATCTTTATAGTTCCCATAACACATGCACACATCATGCCGATCACGGCTTTAGAGCCAACGTTAAGTCTTGCAACTGTACCCAAGTAGCCAAAATGACCTGGCCCTAAACTTAGAAGGGCTACATATGGTTGCTCGACATGGCATAAATGATACCCAAGATAAGGCCAAATCAGTTGGCCCGATTCTGGCAGCCGGCACTGCCAGCACAGGATAGTGTAGTTTTTTCATGTGGTGGTCATTTTTGAAGATTATCCCGCTAAACAAAATGCGTAAGTATCATAAACATTTATTTGACACAGAGCTTACTTTCTGTGATTATTCCCACCAGGGCGACGTTAACTTTCATATCGGCCCACATAAAATGTCAACCCTGGGGTGCCGAGTAGCTTACCTGGGAGAGCGGGTGCCCCATGTACAAAGGCTACGTCCTTGCCACAGCAGCTACAGATTCAATTTCGACCTGTGGCCCTTTGCTGCATGTCATCTGCTCTCTCTCCCCCTTTCATGCTAGCACTGCCCTATCAAGTAAATGCTAAAAAGCCCCCCTAATGAGTATTTAAGGCTGCAGCAGGATGGTGAGTGTGGGCTTGACAATGCCCATGTTCCCAGTTATGAAGTTAGCCAGTGCAACAATGGGGCTCATTGATTCGCTTTTAATAGTTAAACAATGCAGTTCTTGGCTTCATGGGCAATATTTGTTAATAAATCTGAATCAAGAGGTCAGTTATGAAAACGTATCGTATGATCTGTTGTTTAAAGGTACAATGTGTAAGATGTGACCAGAATTTTAATTTAAAACATTCAAAAGAAACATTAACATCAACAGAATGTGAAGATGTAATAGTTTTGACATTATGTCTATGTACTGTGTTGCAGAGAAATGCTATCTACTGAAATTAGCATGCTTAGCAGCTAGCCCTGGCCCATCCTCTCTTGTATTACCATTTGAGTCACTGTAGCGTCCAGTCAGCCTACGGTCCAACATGAGAGGATGGAGAAGTCAAATCTGGTAGTACTTTTGGTAATTTGAGGTACCTGGGGTCTCTCCTGACATAGAGCACTTCCTCTTCTGTAGTTGACAATACCACAATCAGGCAATCCAAGGTCCGAAATCCACGATACTGTTGTGGTTCATTCAGCTACTTCAGGCCGGTTTACGGGTCCATGTCATTGGTCCGACAGCCCATTGGTCCGACATCCCATTAGTCCGACGGTCCGCGGTGCTGAACGGCTCCCGGCGGCCGTATTTCTACCTTGATGGTGCACCGCGACCGGCTCTGGGTCAGCTGGGAAAGGTTTGAGGAGGAGCAGGCTCACGGTTTATGTGTTTGTCACTTTCTTTTTCATTTTAACCCACACCATGATCTTTTCCTGACCCTAACCAAGTGGTTTTTGTGCCTAAACCTAACCAGACCTTAACCACAGGGCATCATGATGATTTCAGAACGGACTTCGGAACAATGGGTTTAATATGGTCAGAACAATGGGATGTCGGACCAATGGGCAGTTCCCCCGGTTTACAGCC